ATACACTATGTCTTATGAACGGTCATCAAAACACGAAGTGCACGCTCAAAATACACTCGTATTTACGCACCGGTTGAAATTGGTCGAAAAATAAAACTATACACGACGTGTAAAGTATACTAATTGTATTCTGTATTCATCTTCTATATAATAAAACACGAACTTGAGTGGTGTGTACACAAACACATTTATCTACCTGCAGTACATTATAATACATGTTTCAAAATATTATAATAATATCATCTTCTACACTCTGTTTCAGACTTAATTATTAGAATTGTATAATATAAAACATTTTTTTAAACGTGATAATGTTACATTAAATTACAGGTTTAGAGGATTTTATCAAAAATATTTAGTACATATATTTTTTTTTTTAACTAATTAGATATTACGAACATCTTTTTAATGGCGAGGAATTTTAATGAAAACAATTAATTCCAAAATTGTGTGTAGGCGAGCGATTATACATCACCTATTTATAATCGACATAGCTTTTCGATGTACGCACACCAATTTCCATAAATTAAATAATATGTAAGTTAATAAAAATGTTGGTTTTGGTAATTTTAAAACCAGTTTCCTCCTTAAACCTACATATGTTTCGCCGTATATAGTGTATTATAATAATAACAACAATATACGTATACACTGTTGTATTGGTTTTCCGCAGGTGCGAGCGAGCATAATATATTATTAATATTATAAATTATATTGTCGCCGATTTCTGTTAAAATTGTCCAGAGTATGCTGTCCATCGACAAATGCGTAGGAAGGACGTGAGCTCGAGGCGAGAACAAATACGCATGTGCTCGTGCACAAAAAAAAATAAATGCGCCGCACTACAATATAGACGCGGTAAATCAAAAATCACTGACTTCTTTGGTTAGCACGTCATTACTTAGTACAATTCGAGTTTATACTATAAATTATAAAATACACGAATTGCCAATAGGTTGATAGATATTGGCATCTTCTAGCAGCCTTCTTTTCCACAAGTGGTACATCAAAATATACGTGCACAGAAGCAGCTGCATTTTGCATGTACCAGCTTAAGTATAATATGTATCATCGAAAGCCACGAAATCCAAAGTGCAAACACTAGGCTCGGATTTGATTCCGGAAGGGCGATTGCTCTTCCCTCCTCACTTTAGATCGATGACTACAAGTTCTGTGCAGGTCGCCGAATATACTATATATATTCTGCACCAAACGCAGAACACTCTTGGAGACTGGAGTGTATTTTACAATAAACTGTGAGTTCCGAATGTTACGGCGATGTGTTCAGTTCACGGTGAACCATAATACGTTTTGCGAGCATAGACGCCAGAAATCCGGTCGGTACCGTCGCCGGACTTCCTCATCTCGAAAAACGGCATCTGCTGCAGCATGCATCAGTCGCGTCGAGAGTTAGGCGCCTTGTCAGATTTCCGTTACGACTAAATAATGTTTATATAGGTATACCTCTTGTTGGGTTAGTACCAGCTCTGGTATCTCTATGTATCAGCAGCATTTTAAACAGCAAATAACGTGTTAAGTAGAATATTATACATTATCCTACGATGTGTGTACACGGGCAGAGAGAAGTATAATAATATATGACGACGGTAGAGGTGACATACCCACTTGAGTCGCAGGCAGGCGCCACCGGCAGTGTCAGGTACATACGACCCAATAATTCACATTATTACCCCGACGGGTCTGCGGGGTGGGTTGTTTGTGAGAGTGTGTTATTATTCGTTTAGGACAAGAGAAAAAAGGATACCGCCGTCGCCAGTGATGTTTTGCTCGCCGAAAACTATACGTGTCGACTTTCCGGTCAAACGGTCATCCACCAAAGTGTACCGCCGCCACCGCCGCGCCGCAAAGGATATATAATATTATATTATTATCATCTACGTATATCTCGGTCGACCGCAACTGTTATAATATATAAAATACAAAAACTGCGCCGTATTACAATACACTGTATATATTGTGTTTGTCTGCTGCGGTATATATTTTCCATTATTATTATTTTCCTCGTCGTTTGTCGGACGTGACAATAACATTTGTCCGACAGGTTAGGAATTTTTTTTTGAGGAAATTGCGTGGCGATCCGCGTCCGATATGATATAATAGAACAAATCATTATACAAATACAAGTGCATATAATATACAACACTGGTATGGGCGGCAGGTTATAATATATTATACACCGCTGACGCAGGACTTGATATATTATTATAATATATAACGCACGGGTATAACCACGGGACAGCCGATTTCTTTTGAGTGGACAGAAATTCGAGTGCGCTTTTGGCCGGCGACATCAAAGAGCACGTGGTATTGTGGTAATATTACATACGATACCGGTAATAATATTACCTATATGATGTATTTTCATAATCAATGTTGTAACAACTTTGCATAAGTACGGGTTTTAGATATAGTCGTGGCGGTGGCTCAATCGGTGAAACGAAAATCGAAACGACAATAAAACAACGTGTCAACGTGATACACTTATAAAATTATAATATCAATGATATTGCAGGTAAACGTAAAAATATAAATTATACGACCTACATAACAATTAGAATACTTATTACATTATTATTGTTATTAGTATTGTAACTGCTGTTCGCTCATTGTCCGGGGGAGTGTGATTCACGAGGCGGGAACAACAAATAATAATGCGTTTGCGATAAATGCCGATAGAGAAAAGAAACAGATTTTGAATCTACAGCGGCGACGGCGGCGGTGCGTGCGTCTTATCTTTTTCATTTTTACACGGGTATTACACACACACACACACACACCGTCGGCGGGTGCTCATAAATCGAAGATTTTAGCGCTTGTCTAGTAGTACGTGCGCGGAGGGGTGGACAGGGTTGTTTTAAAACACAAAAACGTTACACGAAACACACACGTACACATAAATATATAAAGGATCGTCTTAAAAAGGTGTCGGAAGGCGACGGGCGACGACGACGACGACGATGACGACGGCGGTGGCGGTGGCGGCGACGCGGTGGCGACTAGGCACTCAACCGGACCCGTCTGGCGGCGGCCATACGCACGTATATTATATTATTATTATATATTATATTTATATATACCCTCGTGCGCCGCCACCGTTTAATGACTATTGGCGACAGCACCCTAATTAATAGAAAAAGTCTGGTTCTCAGCGGGAACCCGTGTTAATTGAACATCTATAAAAATCTCGTATCACGTCGAATCTCTCTGAGCGTATATATATATATGTATATGTATATAATATCATGTGAGCGTACATGAAATATATATAAATTGTTTTAACCTGAGAAGCAGCCGCCGCGCCGCTCGTGGTACATATATGGTATACGATACAGACACGTTATATATATTATGGAGTGACATCAGATTTTCACACACACACACATATACAGACGGCCGCTTAAATCGACCCTTTTAAGTCTTTCGAACGAGCAAATATTTGGTGTCAACCCCCCCGACGGGAGGAAAAAAAAATCTGAAATAAAACAACGACCGGAATATTTTCCCGCACTCACTGAAAACCCTTGTGAAACACTTAACGACACTATGTATCGCTGCCGCCAACACCGCGTGTATATACAAGCCGACGCCCCCCCGAGAAAACGGTATATTATTATTATTATATGTATATAATGTAGTGTAGTAGACAAGTATATAAAGTAGCGGCGCTACTGCCGGCGGCGCGCAGCTGAAATGCGCCGCCGCACACCCCGATCTAAGTTTGTGCCAACTGCGCAAAGTCGGCGCCGGCCGTGTGTATATATTTGCTCGGGTCCGAGGGTGTCGCGCTCACCCACCCACCCACCTTTTTTTCGCATATATTTCAGAAATACAGAACAAACAAATAAATCGTCGCCTCGCCCGCTCACAGATATTGTTCATGGCGCGATTTCCATTGCGCCAAACCACATTATTTTCTCGTTCCCACGGGCATAAATAGGAAATCTATTAGGTACGTGTACATTATATAAACGTTAATAATTATTTCCATCGTTTGAGGGGCATCGACATAAAATTTAAGGTAGTCGTCGTCGATACCAGTTGTGCGTGAAAAACATTTCAATTTTAATCTGGTACGAAACGTTATCAATATAATAATATGATACATACGAATGTTGTGATTTGAGAAATCAAGTATGAAAGATCTCATTTGATATTGATAATGAATAGCGTATTGTTTTAAAATAATTTCATGCACAAGTATCTAAGGATTTAGAAAAATTTAAAACAAGCATATACGAGGGGATCTATGCCATTCATATCCTCCTCGCTTAGTACATATGCCACTGACTGATCGGAATACCCGCAGTGTATTGGATCCTGCTATAACGCCACTGGCATGTACATGATAAATATAAAAAACATAATATAGCGAAACAGCAGTGGTATATATATAACAGTAAATATAGTATAATTGCAATACTAAATAGTAAGTACCCTATTTACCAAATAACTGTGTGACCAAACACGGTCATAGTGTCATAAAGTGATATCACACAAGTCATAATAACTTATATATGATCGAAATCGCTGTGATAAATCTTACCACATGCAGTACAAAACACGTCATCTATATGATTCTATACGGTCAACACTCAATAATTACTTATATATCTCCACAATGGTCCAGTATCTATATGGAAAATAGTAGGAAGATAAAAGAGATAGGTACCACAAATAGAAATGCATGTAATAATTATTTAAAATTAAAATTTCCGTCCGCGGGGGATAACAATGTATATTATTATATTGACCGAAAACTAACGTTTAGATTTAAACTATTCTAATCCAAAATCTATTCAGCGTCCACTCACTTAGGCCTAATGTCTACATTATCAAACTTCATACCGATACGCGAATTGTGACAGCGGGATTTCGTTACATACTTTTTAGTTAAGACAGGGTTACGGAGAGAAACATACAGAGATTTGTTCAATAAAATATAACAATGTATCATGAATAATTAAATTGTTTGTACTTACAAATCCGTGTTTGTCAGATATATTGTTGGTGAGTTTTAGCTTGTGAAACGACACGACTTTTTGCATCCACTGTTCGCCAGTAGACGGGGAATCGGGATGTATGTACATTCGCTTGGGCATTTCCGGATCAGCTTTTCCGGCCACCATCCATCGGCTAAATAACGATTAATATACACACAAACATTATTAACAGGGCCATTGTACGTATTGAGTGTCGGGTTTTAAATAATTCATGATTTATTAATGCAATAAAACAAACATTAACTTTTAAATGCAAAAAGCAAAATGAAAAAAAAAGTCAATCGACGTATTATGTTGTTAAATGTTTAAATCAGTAATTTAATAGCGTAATATATAATTTTTTTTTATTATTAATAAACGCCAATTTTAGTAAGCAAATATACATTATACATAACATTATAAACAGCGGATTTATTGTAAAAAATAAAATTATAAAATATTAAATGGTGTGTTTGAATATTATTTTTCTGAAATGTTAGTAATACAAAAAAAAATGATCATGCTGTGAAATAATACAGTGTACAGAACATATTATGATATATTTGAGCCGATTCAACCCACACACGGTTTTTTTTAACTTTCAGGTTTATACCTAACTAATGAAATAAAATGAAATGACAAAATCAACTTAACAAAAAGGCCACGAAAAAGAACAAGTATTTTTTGTATTTTTCGATTAACATTATACAATAATATATTACAATGATTATTAATTTAAAATTGTTTACGAAATATTCATGTCACTGCATATTTATTTTTAAAAATATGAATAACTACTAAAAAGCTTATAATATGTAATGTCATTTTGAAGGAAAAAATCTAAATTAACCAAATTTTTATTAAATAATATTGTTATGCATTTACCATCGATGATCCCATATATATATATATATATTGTTTACAACATTATATATTATCTAAAAAATTAGTCATTTGATTGAAATTTGTTTACTTTTTGTACCTGTTGTGGAACTTATAGCGACAGTCATCGGCGGCCACGATGTCCATTAGCAGTATGTATTTGGCCTTTTTGTCAAGCCCCATTACTCGGACTTTGTAAGCGGGGAACATCCGCCTAATCAAACAAAACAAAAAAGAAACTAAAAAACAGGAAAAAACAACACGAGTTTATCATACAAAATATAAAAAACAGAACCAAATAATAATAATAATAAAATATAAGAGTCGGGTTATGTGTTAATATATTGCAGTGTACGTATAATAATATAGTTAGGCCGCGGGGGGGTAGGTCTGCAACTCGGCAGTCGGCTCGCATATACTATAATATACAAACGACGACAACATTACTAGGTACATAATGTAATATATTATGAACATACACAGCAGTCATGTGTATTTATTATATACCTGTTGTGGAACTTATACCGGTAGTCGTCTGACGCCACAATGTCCAGCAACAAGATGTACTTGGTTTTTGCATTCAAACCGCTCACCCGAAACCTCATCTGGGGAAACATTTGCCTGTAGACAGTTTTTTCGAACATTTGGTTTTTTTCCCATTGTGTAACACAAACATTTTAATATAAAAAAAACCACGCACTCGACATACTATTTCAACCGTATTGTACAAAAACCCACTAATGGGAATATTATACGTGACGTATTGAAATTGCCTATAGGTACTGCACATGATGGCGACGCTCATTGAGTCTGTTTTAAGGTTGTAACTAATAAGCACCAATTAACTTATTAAGTAGTAGGAATTTAAAACATTTGTTAAATACCATTTTACAGATATTTTCCATGTTTGGAGGTAAACGTAAGGTATGCGGTAGTCCTATATATTTTCTAGAATTAGTTATATGTACCTAATATATGGTAAAAAAGTACACAGCGTTACTACCCTATACAGTATACAGTATACATATAAAGTATATACGTATATGTATAATATTTTATACACATTTACTATAGAAAACCAATACACGACTTAAATTTAGACACAATATAACAAAATACTGTACGAGTTCAAAAACTAATTTCAGGCTGCAGGACTAGCATGTATAAAATATAATACATTTATATGTATGTATATAATATTATAGTCCATAATATCCCTCATAACAACATCATATTCGGAAATCCTTCTCCTGCTGCTGCTGCCACCCCTGTTCCTCCTCGTCCAAAAAATATATAAAAACCATCTGCTACACACACGCTGCCCCCCTCACCCCCACCAAACTCCCTATTAAATGGTGGCAGCCATCTTTAATCGTCACAATAGGATGAGTGCATGATATCTCGCACTTTATTATTACGGTAAGTACGCTTCATCGCTCGCCCTTTTTCACACCACCCCCTGCACACATACACACACAGACATACACGCAGGATCCATAATTCGCGAGCGCCCGTTCCATTATACGTATACCACGCGGTATATTTTATAAATTTCAACCCTTATATAATAAATATTATATACGTGTGCGCGTGTGTGTGTTAATACGAGCTGAGAAAACTGGCAGTGGTACGTTATCAATGGCGGGGTGCAGGGGTGCGAGCGGGTGCTCGCTCGCCACGGAGTGGGGCGTGTTTGTGGGCGAAATCCAAAGTCCGGAAGTGAACTTAACCGAATTCGATCGGTCGCAGGGGTGGCTGATTCTCCCTGGAAACACATATATTGTATTCGAAACGAAATAATACATACGAGTGTGTGTGTGCTCGCGTATTTGGGAGCTGCTGCAGCAGAGGGAAACATGATATAGGTTTTAAGTATTTTTTTCCTATTACTATAATAAATAGGTATATTATATTATTTTTTTAACCGATAACATGTTATCGCGCATTGTTGAAAAATGTCCGGTCGGACAATAAAAACGCGTATGCGGTTTTCGTGTGGGCGAAAAAAATAAAAGAATAATGTATAATTTGTTCCCATTATTTTGCTGTCGATCCATTGTGTGCGCACGTGGATTTCAAAGCCATCCGATATTGTTTGAAAAACGTTTTACCCATATTGTACATCGATATCATAATATATTATATAATCCTATAGGTATGTATATGACTACACTGTACTCTCTAGTATATAATATAATCGTATATATGTTTATAAATTAATATACCCTCCCCGCGATTGTAATGTTCGTGACAGTTCTTTTAAATGAAAAAAAAAACAGTTTTCCACCATTATATATCTATCTCTGATCGATGACAAATCGTGTAGAGTTAAATGGTAAATTTTTTAATGTCCATGCATATATAATATATATTGTATTAATATTTTAACGACTACAAACGAGCAAGGAGAAACGCGTATACACATATACATTAAACTACAGTACATACCTACATACCTAACAAACATATATTTTATATTATAATCTGTGCACTGTCGAAATCATATAAAAAATGTATGATGTGTAATTTAGACTCACGATCAATGGTTTTTATTTTTTATGTTTACCGATTTTATCGCATTTATGTATGTTTTTATAATTAAACCAAAACAGCGTATTATATATTTCTGTTTCATAAGTGCGTATAGTATTTATTCATTTTGTATAATATGGTGTCGGTGCCTTACAACGTACATTGTACGTGTATGATGTATATTATAATATTTAATTTAATCTTCAACTATCTTGTGGAAGTTCTAAACCCAGACCCAAATAATATCAATGAACTATATTACAATTCACAAACTTCATCAATGGATGTAAGCTGTATACATTATACAGACTACACAGTATTTTAACTTTTTACCTTTTCTATTTAACTATTTTATTTCGTATAATATATTATTGATTTAATACAAGTACTTTAAACTATTTAGTATTTATAAATAAACTTAATAATTTATTTATATATATTTATTATACCTTGGAAAAAATATTGATTAGATACTAAAAAATATTTTATAATGGTATAAAAATATTAATCGAAATACTTCATCATAAAATAGAGTTAATTAAAACCGAATTCATTTGTATTGATTTCCTAAAGTCATTGTGACAAAATTAGTAATTATTGAAAGACAAAAATAATGTACGGCGTAACAACGAGTAGCGTCACACCTAGATCTTTAAATGTACTTATATTATATTCTAATCATTGTTCTAAATCAGCAAGAAATCTGGAGACGAGACTTGTTTTCAAAGATATAACCGAAAACTGCCCGAGCAAAACGCCTAACTGATGTGCGCGATAGGAGCGTAGCTACGTATTATAAGCTCACATTATTTCTGATACAAAAAACAGGAATAATAATGGAAATAAAAAGGGTTGTTTTGGGACTATGCGATTATTTTCAATATCTTGTGTCTCTTACAACAGACCACGGTAGTCGGGAAAAAAGGACGCTTGAACGCGCGTTTTCGATAAACGTTCACACGGCGCCTAAAAAAACCCATAGACCGTACGTAAGAGTATAAAAGGCGGCGCGAGCGAAGAAAGTGTTATTTTGTGTGTTAAGATGTATATATATATATATATAAAATATTGTACATATTATGTTATTATGTATAATAATATGTACCTACAAAGAACGCGTCACATTGTGAGGCGGCGGCGGTGTACATATTATAATATTATACACTGGCGCGAGGAGACGACTACGCGACACGGTCGATTGGACGGGGAATAATAAACGTAAAAGAAGAAGGTGTTTCTCATCCTATTGTGCGTAATGGGTCGCCGCTACCTATATGTGCGTATATACAAATACAAAATATATAATACACACATAATACGAGTATATATATATATATAGGTACTATTAGACAGGTATATAATATATAATATGTATAGGCGGGTACCTACGTGAACATAATATAATATATAATACAAGAGCGCTTATACATAAAAACCGAATACAATAAGGAGCGGTGGCGGCGGCTGTGTATGTGCGGTTGTGCTTTCGTCAACGCCGGCGACTTAATGTACCGTGTAAACACGACGAAGACGCGCGCACCCGAAAAAACACTATGCGCTCACACAATTGGCGTTTTACGATATCG